CCGGCGGAGTTCCTAGTTGATGTGCATCAGCAGGACTCCTCCTATTGGTGGTTAACCCTTCCCGGACTCCCTGCAGACGGGCAGGAGTCAGATATAGTTGGTTAGGTCCAATGCCTAAGCCAATACCGCTCACCATCTGTAACCAATAAAGTTGTGGCCTTTTTTAGCCCATTAACCTTAAATACTTGAGTCAAGTGTCTTTATTCAACTACAGGGACGGTGCAGGGCGGGGCGGGACCTTGCAGCTCTAGATTTGTTAATCTTCCCTTCCTCAATGTTTTTAAAAGGTACACCATCTTTCCTACTAGGCTGATGTAACAGTTGCTAATCCACCTTTTAACAATTCTGACAAAATGGTATAAGCACAGGGAGTGGTCATTTAGGGGAACTGGGCTGTTTATCATCATTCATATATAAGGCAGTATCTCGTATCCACTAGAACATTCTGATAGCGCTTTCCCACAGTTAGAACTATGAATGCAGTACATTGGAGGTGGCAGGTTGTCAGGAAAACACAATGGTGGGTTGAGAAGCTATTACATTTTCTAACAGCAGCTTCGTTCTACCTGAGCTACAAAATCTTCACAAAGATGGTATGTGCTAGCGACAAGCTGTATTTGGAGGACATGGTTAAATTGCCCATGGTTAATCATACCCAAAGATTGCATGAGTGGTCTCCTTAAACTGTGATGGTGGAGTTTGCAACTGGAGGGAATGTGGGGGGTATTTTAGGCACATTTGACTCCAGGTGTGCAGATGAAGGTCTCTGAGAAGTAGAGTGTTTACGTCCCCAACTTCTTTTTTACAGCTTAACAACAGTATAAGTTATGGAGATATAGCATGGCCATGGGTCAGTCCTCGACCACAAAAAAGGCGTTTAGGATAGCAGCTGGAGTTTTACAGAAGAGGCAAGAGAACAACAAACAACATCAGACAAAGCAAGCAGCTGATTCCTTGGTTGTCTGTTAGCCTATTCAACAAATCATGGTTAAAAAAAACATGTCTTGTTGTTACATATGAACATAGTCAATGCAGTCGTCCACAAGGAGTTAACATGGTTAGTCTAACCTGTGTTTTTCCTCCCTGGTTATTTGGCTGCATTTTTGCTTTAATGAGCAATGGACACATAAGTACTTGTATAAATAAGGGAGAGGACTGAATTAACATAAAGTACATACATAAGTGGATGCTTTACTTTGGAGTCATCCATAATTCATTCTCTCAAAGTGTATGAATACCCAGCATAAATGATGCATCTTTTTTCCTGTGAACTGGGCCACTAGTCAGAAGCTGTCAATTATATAGTATCAGCAACAGTTCAATGCACTAAATGCTGCTACTGAGCAAATCTAGCCCAACTGAACAGTGTAGAAGTGTTTGCTAGATTACATCTCATGGATAGGATAGCTGGTAAACCTGTGAGATTACTGGTTTATTTTTAAACTTATAAATTAACACAGAGTTCTAATGGGAAGTTTCCCAAAATGACATAATTCTAAAACAGTATTCCATTAGATATTTTATTTACATTTCTGTTTGTAAGTCTCTATGGGTCTCAAATGAATATAACTTCCCTTCCATTTATTCCTTTTAAACTAAACAGCAACCTTGGACCAAGCCAATGATAGTATTTGGAATATTTGCAACACATTTATAGAATTTTGTTGCTTACAACTTTCTGAAAAAAGCTGGACTTGCCAAGTAGATGCCTCATGCATTTTCCAAAAAAGTTTTCTGGAAATTTGAGAAGTGCCACACAACTCTTTTGCTTTCGGTACATGTCCCCTGCAGCATGAGAAGCTTGGTTCATATAATTGGGTGTAAATAAGTGCTCCTTGCCTAATGAAAATATAAAGCAGGAGGCATTGTGCCCTTGGGGAAAGCCAAGTGCAGCCCATTACGTACATATGGCAGCCCACCAGGGGCTTGGTAAACAAGTCACAGGACATGGCAAGTGGACTAAATTAGACTGGACAAAGGAGTGGTCAAAAGTTATGCAGAACTTTCTTAGGGGCTCCTTCATTAATTTTATTAAATGTTTGTATGATAGAGCAATCAGCTCTCTCATACAGATTTCTAACATTTTCTGTAACAAACATAGAATATTTCTAAGCTGTGTAAGACAAATCTGCTGTTTTCAAAGCCATCTGGCTATTTTTAACTTTCCTTCCAGCTTTCTGTCATGAGATAGAAGAAGATTTTTTAAAGTGAAGACAATTCATCAAACCATCAGAGCAGGAAACAACAGTGCATTTTTTTAAAAGTAGCAACTTCCTTAAAATGTGACAAGAATTACTGGAATCTAGTGGGGGGGGGAGAATCAATTACTACAGTAAGATGGTGAATGGTTTTACAACTATATGAACATATTCTGAATTACATGCTGCTATTCCAGATGGCCATTTACTGACACTTAAATTGGAATGAAGTGGCTATGTGGTCATTATCTGTCACTACTTTCATGATGATTAAACATCTACCATTAAAATAAACCTGCAGACAAAAGATGATGCCTGCACTAGCGAATGTGGGAGGATAGAGTAATTAATATACTTTGGAGCTAATCAATGGTCTTGGCCACCAATGTATCTTCAATATGTTGTTGAATCTATTATATTCCTTGTACCCTGCTTAAAGACTATTGTAATGAAGCATCATATAAATCGTCTAAACAAATGAAATAAAAATACACAGGGTCAAAACAGGAAACAGTGACTTAATGTTTATTTACTCCAGAATCACTCAACTGGAAACTAATCGGTAGCCAGTGGAATTGGACCAGGATTGGTGTAATATGCTCTAACCGTCTTGCCCTGGTGAGCAACCTGGCTGCTAAGTTCTGCACTAGCTGAAGTTTCTGAACTGTTTATGAAGCTGGCGTTGTTATGTCAGAACCAACCCATAGTCCACATTCAGAGGCAATGCTAAACTACAATATATTGCAATGTAAATGAGCCTTGGGCTTTTGGTCTCCCCTGCCTTGTGTGATTGCAAGGTGAAGATCAGTAGCTATTTTCAAGAATCTGTTGTTTGAAACAAACCAGGAACAACTGGTTTTGAAACTATGGTTTCTCCCCCAAAAAATCAAGATCAAACTGTGGTTTCTGATCTTTGTTAGTTTAGACAAAACTGGTTGCACCAACCAAGAAATTAGAGAGGAAGGTTTTCTCGCAAGCCTGGCATTCGCATAATATTAAACTATGCTTTATGATGTCCCAAATGTAACCATTGTACCATTCATGTCACAAGTCCAAATAATTTCTTCATACTGGTTCTGCTTTGGGGAGTGAATTCTATGTTCTAAAATGAGAGCAACACTGAAAAGTACATACAGCTAGGATAAAATGGAAGGAAGAAACCACTTTTTAAAAAATTGAGGCTATATTATTTGTTTTTTATTCATTTTAATTTCAAATAGCCCATTATTTCATCCATAATACACAAAGCTGCTGGTGAGTTGGATAGCCAAGCACTGAACAGTTTGGTTTGGGGGTGCTTTTATGGAAAGATTACTAAACAAGCAGCCAAGATGAACAAAGTACTGTATTTCGTGAATCCAAAGATTTTATAAGCTATTGAATGGAAGCAAAGTGCACATCCAGCAAACCACTGGAACTACACAGATGTTTTCACTTGTCTCTATTTAATGTAACCTAGCCAAGCCCATTACTTGGCAAAGAGATACTTTAGGAAAAAATATTTTTATATGTTGTTAATGTTATGCTGGGCAAGTGAAGAGAGAGAGACAACACTTTTTCCAAGATCTAAATAAGTATAAAATAATTAAGAAAAATAATTTTACACCACTAGGATTCTGCAACCCCCAGAAATATATATTCCAGTAATTCAAGTCATTGTATAAAATAATGGTAAATTAGTTTCCTGAAACAAGATGCTTTCTGGAAAACTAGCTTAGGGTAACACATCTGGTTACTGGTTTCAAGGCTGTTCTGCACCTTTTGTTCTACACTGAATTATAGGAGGTAAAGTAAAAAGGCATAGTAAGGTAAAGGTAAAGGGACCCCTGACCATTAGGTCCAGTCGTGACCGGCTCTGGGGTTGCGGCGCTCATCTCACTTTATTGGCTGAGGGAGCCGGCGTACAGCTTCCGGGTCATGTGGCCAGCATGACTAAGCCGCTTCTGGCGAACCAGAGCAGCGCACGGAAACGCCGTTTACCTTCCCGCCGGAGCGGTACCTATTTATCTACTTGCACTTTGAGGTGCTTTCGAACTGCTAGGTTGGCAGGAGCAGGGACCGAGCAACGGGAGCTCACCCCGTTGTGGGGATTCGAACCGCCAACCTTCTGATCGGCAAGCCCTAAGCTCTGTGGTTTAACCCATAGTGCCACCCGCATCCCTTAAAAGGCATAGTATGTTTCACTAAATTTTAAGGTTGAGCTTTAAATTGTAAGGTTGGGAACTTCAAGGGGACCAAAAGAACAGTCACAACTGGCAGGTTTGGGTATGGGAGAGCAAACTGGGGACTCACTGTTACATGACCAATGTCGAATCACTTTGGCAGTTCCCACCTACACTTTTCCTGCTGCTACATTATCATATAGTGCAGTAGAATGCATTCCCATCACTTAAAAACTGAGTGTCATGATTCCTGCGATCTCAACTGGTTTGGGGTAGGAGTTGTGACCAGATAAGTCAGAGGAGAAGGAGTGTGAGGACACTGTCCGAAGGGAAGGGCTTGAGGGGTGGGACGGCCCCTCTCCCACAGTCCATTGCGTTTAAGAGGGTGGGGGAGGCAGTCTTGCACCCCTGATGTCATTCTGGAACTCTTAGTCACATTTCTGGCAATCTCTAACTGCAGTCTGACCTGAATACTCATAAGCCTTGAATAAAATTTCTTTCTTTCTTTCTTTCTTTCTTTCTTTCTTTCTTTCTTTCTTTCACATACACACACACACACCTGTGGCAATGCATTTAGAAGAGGAAGTAAGACACTGCCAAAGTAAATGAATTTGCACACTGCTTTTAATATATTCTACAGAACCGTGTGTGTGTGTGTGTGTGTGTGTGTGTGTATACACACACACACACACACACACACAAACACAGAGGCAATGACTGATTTATGAGTGTCTGATTGATGAACGACTGCGTACACACACACACACGGTGCAGAAACCAGAAGTGACCCTAAAACATCACCAAAAGGACAGAATGGCGGTGGGAAGGGGCAGAACGCTTTACGTGGGTCCTGCTGATGTGGGGGGGGGGGTCTGAAACAAAAACCCCACACCAAACAAGAATCGCCTGTAGTTGCCTGAACAAGCTTACCTCAGTTGTGATTCAAAGCAATTGATAAATGATTTTTTTCACCACTAAGGCTGGACTGCAGGGGTAGCTGGTTATGGTTGTAGCCTGTTTAAAGACCCACTTTAGGCTCAAACCCTAACATTTTTTTACATTTACGGATTCTGCGAACCCTACAATTACACACCCCCAGTGACTTTGCCTACAAACTGAACCGGAAACTTGGAGGCTGGCCCAGAACGATTTGCTGCCTGAGGTAAAATTCTGTGCCTAGCAGTGGTGTAGCAGCAACAGGACACAACCATGACAGTGGGGGCAGTGGGGGCATCCATGGCAGGGCACGCCCATGGCAACAGAGGCAAGGGCAGCGAGCTCATCGGGCTCTGCCACCTGAGGCGATCACCTCACCTCACCTCACCTCACAGGTAGGTCGACCCAGCCGAAATTCTTTGGTAAGGGTTTTCTGGGAACTTAGTACAAATAACTGTAAAGTGATTGTGCTATACAACACTAAAAACAGGGGGGGATGACAATCCAGCCTTACAATGCCAGAGACTATTTCTATTGCTTTGTAACCAGATAAATGTTTATTATCACTATAATTTCACTTAAAACTTTAAAAGGAGATTGCATTAAATTAAGCAAAATAGGTCTTACAAGGGCACTTTCACACCACAGCCCCTTGGTAAATTAAATCTGCTAAAGCCCTCTGTAATACTATTTGGGCAATTCAACACAAATCAAAATGATCTGCCATAGATAATATTTCAATTCTATATATCTATGTTTATTGCACATATGACATGTTCTAAGTATTAGAAATGATGCTGCATGCCATAATATTAATTCTGATCACTTGTTAGTCTAATTTGAAACTTGGACTCCTAATTCTGATTTAGTTGCCTACTTTTTCCACACATTTTTCAGAGGCAACCCCATGTGTGTCATTGAAAGTGCAATTAACTGGGAACTCCAGTCATTCATTACTTCCTAATGAGTAATAATAACCACAAATCTTATTGGCTTCTTGAAGGCTAACGCATTTATTATGACATAAGCTTCTGTGGACTACAACCAACTTCTTCATATGCATGGTGTTATCCTGAGGAGGAAATTCCTAACTGAGTGTTTCATCAGGAAGAAAAGTAACATGAACTTCACAATCTTAAACATCTCCCCAATCGTCCAAAAGGAAATGATTTCGTATAGCTGGTAAATGTAAATAATGCATTTTTAAAAGGCATTGGTCAACCATTGGTGCTGCTAATATATATATTTAGAGATATTAACTTTTAAAAAAAATTAACTAAAAGCTCAGTTGTGCAGATTTAGAACCACAGAGAATACACAGGAACAATGATCAAGAGCAATTTTCAGGAACAGCACAAAGTAAGTTTTGCTCCGAGTCACGTGTTGAGAAACAGGGCCGAGCTAAATGCAATGCAAAGATCCATAATTACAGTCTCCTGTCATTTTCTTTGAAAAATAATAACAAACTATTATTAAAGGTAATAGCAGCCAAGGAGTCAGAGGTGGAGAAGAGGCGATTTTAACAAGTAAGAGGGGATGGAGGGGTTAACTCCACTTCCAACCACACAGTCCTCATCATGCCACTACCCAAGGGAAGTTATTATTATTACTTAATTGCAAGATAACCAGACTGCGGCTATTCCATATTATGCCTAGTTGCCTTCAAATACCTTACAAATATAGAACATATGGCTTCACACTCAACATATTCAGAACTTTCATTCGCTACAGAGATAGCAATTCTTCTCCACATCATTAAAAAAAAATATCATAGTCCCTGTAGCATCTTAAAGACCAATGTATTTATGTTGGATTGGCAAAAATTCAGAGGCTACAGTCCACTTCATTATGTACATGAATACATACTGAATACTGGTAAGCCAGCAGACACTGTTTAGGAATCAGGTGTTCTTGGACACCACCATTCATCTGGGATCTATGGGTTGCAGATGGGTAGAGGCACACTATTTCTGCTAGTATTGTGTACTGAGTCATCTGTTGAACCTTGTGTATTTTTTTCTCTTTCATTTCTTCTAAACCAGATTTCCAGGGAAGTTAACCTATGAGCTTTGGAAAAGCAATTCTTGTGGAGTTGATCCTGGGTTCTTGGTTGGTTGGTTGGTTGGTTGGTTGGTTGGTTGGTTTCCTACAGAACAACTAACTCATTCGAGGGACTGAGAAATAGTTTTAAGACTTGGAATAGAAAAGTAGGTTATACTGGATTCAAGACACTACATCTTCTCCTTCCTCCTTTTTCACATTTGTATTCCTTAGCAGTTCACTCCCCATTAGTTAGATCAGTTTAAAACCAAGCCAATAGGTTCTTTCCCAGTGCCAATTAAATTTAATGGGATATACGCATGCAATTCCCTGGTGAATCAACAAAGAAAATGGGCCCCAGGGAAATTAAACGCATCTATCATTAACAAGAAAAGAAACACGGGGAAGTAGAGGCAACTTACATGGTTTAGATGTCCCAGTATTTATCTCCACTGCACCTTGATCAGAAAGGTGTGTGTGCAGGTTTTAAAGGAAATAGTAGTACTTAGGGTTAGACATCTAACCAGTCAAAAAGGATCTGGTTAATTGACCAATCAGATATTGGTGAAGTAGTCGGTTAATGGTCAAATATTAAAGTATTAACATTATGCGAACCAAGATAATTAACACATTTGATACAGATGCTAATTACAAAAACAAATTAGCTTTTATTGTGAAACAACGACATTCATTTGAAACAGTATAACAAATGATCTATTTTATTACATGTTTATTCTGCCCCTATCCCAAAACAGCTCAGGACACTGCACATGGTTTCCCCTTACCCATTTTATCCTCAAAACACACCACTGAGGTAGGTTCAGCTGAGTGTATTTATTTATTAAGTTTACAAGCTGTATGAATTTGTACTCTAGGGCAGAGCTTTCCAAACTGTGAGTCGTGACATGTTAGTGTGTCAGCTGCAGTGTGTCGTGCGAACGCTCCCAGCACTCCTGCTGGGGCTGGAACGGGGTTAGTTAAACCTCTGATTTGATAGTAAAACTGAATTACTATGTCGTGAAATGATGCGTGTCTAAAAAGTGTGTTACCAACATGAAAAGTTAGGAAAGATAATATTTGTAAGCCACCCCTTTCCAGGGTGGCTTACAAATATTATCCTTAAACAAGACAAAAGACAGAGCATACAAAATGTGTATGTGACTGCTGCAATGTCACCAGATGAGCTTCATGGCTGAATAATAATTCGAACCTGGGTCTCCCTGGTCCTTGTCCGACACGTTTAACACTAGGTAGCATTTTCCATTGATGACTGCTAGTGTTCACTTTGCTTGCCATTACAGTACATAACCAGTGGGAGAAGCTTTGCTACGAAACTAGGTTAGGCCCCAGCTGCTGCAGGGATGGAGAGGAAGCTATCCTCACTCCTGCTATTCCTTAAAAAATGACAGTATAAGGGGTGAAGAAAGAGAGAATTCTTTCTGTTGTACCATAATGCAAAGTAGTAATAAATGTATATTTATTTTGATATTATGGAGTAAGACACAAGAGGGAGCTTTAGCAATATGCCCTGCATCATTGTAAACTGAAAAGGATGGGGCTGGGGCAAAGAGAGGAATAGACTTTTCTAGACCACTCTGCTTATTTGTTTTGGGCATGACTGCTTTCCCTAGGGAGCCAGGTATGACTCACAAGGTCGCCGTAGGGCTTCAACCATCTAAATAAGTAGAACTTATTTGACTTTTTGTTTCTGGCTCTTCTTAGCAGCTCATGGGGGGGGGGGGGAGCCTTTCCCCATGGCTGCCACCCATTTGTTTAAATTAATAATAATCTCCAGTAGAAATATAAAGAAGCTCAGAAGAAGTGTCCTTTCCAAACATGCCATTTTAGCTATCAGAAGCAGTGTGCGTTCACTGACATACATTTGCTGCATTTAGCTATTCTTTTTGACAGTGCAGAGCAATGCTACTGCGACTGGGGAGGGGAGATTTAGTGGCAGAGCTTCTGCCTCTTACTAAATCCTGCTGACTAGGGTGGGAGGGCAACTTTTCCATACTTTTTATTGCTGTTCATCTCCCCCCCCCCCCGACACACACACACTTTCCTCTCTGCCACTGCAATCTACATGAAGGAATGAACTATGCTAGCCCAGCTCTAGGGGCATGATCGTTTAGGGCCCATATTTCTGGAGGGGAGGAGATGCTGTCAGATTAATGAGGCTGCTTAGAATCCAGTGAATTGTTGGCTGCCTTGGAATCCACAGCAGCAGCAGCATGAGGTGGAAAGAGGAAGGGCTACCCCCCCCCACACACACACGCCATGCTGATCCTTTTAAGCTCTGATATATAGATAAAATAAAATATTTATCTGCAGGAAAGACCAACAGTAGTATATAAAGCTTCAAACCTACAACAGGGTTGTAATTCAGATCTTGACAACCCAACTCAATGATTAATTCAACACACTGATGAATTCAACACATCCAGAACGATTAGTATTGCATAGTCTACCATAAGAGTTTGACAAAACAGCAGCAGCAGCAGTGCATCCTTTCTGTGTGGAAACCCTTTGGTTTAGGATAGCAAAAAGAATGGCTTTGCTGAATCAGACCAAAGGGCCATTTAGTCTAGCATACTCTTTTCAACAGTGCTCCATCTGATATTTCCAGGAATTCTCTAAGCGAGGCATGAAGGCGGAAAAAAGCCCTCTCCCATTGTTTGTCCTCCAGCAACCAGTAATCGGAAGCATAGTACATCCAAATCTAGAAATTCCAA